AACCAAAAAAGCAATTCCAAAGATTAGCAAAGTGAAGACCTGGTTTTTTGAAAAAAGAAAAAAAAAAAGCAAACAAAATTAGCACATCATTGGCCCGACTAATAAAATAAAAAAGGAGGGAGAAGACCCAAATTAATAAAATCAGAGATGAAAATGGAAATGTAATAACAGACACCACAGACATAAAAAGAATCATCAGAAATTACTACCAAGAGTTGTATGCCAGCAAACCGGGAAACCTAGAAGAAAGGGCAGAAAACTTAGAAGAAATGGATAGATTCCTGGACACATACAACCTACCTAAATAGACCCATGAAGACACAGAAAACATAAACAGACCCATAGCCAATATGGAAACTGAATCAGTAATAAAGACTCTCCCAAAAAAGAAAACTAGGACTAGATGGATTCACTACTGAATTCTACCAGACATTTAATGAACTAACTCCAGTTCTTCTGAAGTTATTCAAAACAACTGAAAGAGAGGGAATCTTCCCAAATTCTTTCTATGAAGCCAGCATCACCTTAATTTCTAAACCTAAAAAAGATGCAACCGAGAAAGAGAACTACAAACCAATTTCCCTGATGAACATAGATGCAAAAATCAACAAAATTCTGGCAAATCAAATCCAACAACACATCATAAAGATCATTCACCCAGACCAAGTGGGATTTATCCCTGGTATGCAGTGATGGTTAAATATTTGCAAATCAATCAATGTGATACATCATATTAACAAACTGAACAAAAACTATATGATTATCTTAATAGATGCAGAGAAATAATTTGATAAAATACAACAGCTTTTCATGATGAAAACTCTAAGCAAGTTGAGTATAGAAGGAACATTCCTCAACACAATCAAGGCAATTTATGACAAACCCACAGCCAGCATCCTATTAAATGGGGAAAAGTTGGAAGTATTCCCACTGAGATCTGGTACCAAACAAGGATGCCCACTGTGACCACTACTATTCAATATAGTCCTGGAAGTTTTAGCCAGAGTCATTAGGCAAGAAAAAGAAATCAAAGGGATACAAACTGGGAAGGAGGATATTAAACTATCCCTATTTGCAGATGACATGATTCTATATGCAGGGGATCCAAAAGACTCCACTAAGAGACTACTTTAATTCATGGAAGAGTTTGGTAAAGTCACAAGATATAAAATAAACACACAAAAATCAACAACCTTTGTATCCACAGACAATGCCATGGCTGAGAAAGAACTTCTAAGGTCAATCTCATTCACAATAGCTACAAAAAATCAAATACCTTGGAATAAACTTAACCAAGGAGGTCAAAGATCTCTAAGATGAGAATTTCAAAATGTTAAAGAAAGAAAAAGAAGATATAAAAAATGGAAAAATCTTTCATGTTCATGAATTGGAAGAATCAATATCATCAAAATGTCCATACTTCCAAAAGCATTTTACAGATTCATTGTAATACCAATCAAACTACTAAGGACATTCTTCTCAGATATAGAAAAAATGATGCTGAAATTCATATGGAAACACAGGAGACCCTAAATAGCTAAAGCAATCTTATATGACAAAAAAACAAAGCTGGAGGTATCACAGTATCAGATTTCAATACATACTATAGGGCAGTTATAATCAAAACAGGCTGGTGCTGGTACCAAAACAGGCTGGTGCTGGTACAAAAACAGATGGATAGACGAATGGAACAGAATAGAAATGCCAGAAATCAACCCAAGCACCTACAACCAACTTACATTTGACAAAGAAGCTAAAACCAATCCCTGAAGCAAGGATAGTCTCTTCAACAAATGGTGCTGGGAAAACTTGATTTCCACATACAGAAGTATGAAGCAAAACCCCTAACTTATACCTTACACAAAAGACCACTTAAAATGGATTAAAGACATAAATTTATGATCTGCCACCATCAAATTATTAGAGAACATTGGGGAAACCCTGCAAGACATTGGCATAGGCAAAGACTTCTTGGAAAAGATCCCAGAGGCACAAGCAATCAAAGCCAAAATTCATAAATGGTATTACATCAAATTGAGAAGCTTCTTTATTGCAAAAGAAACACTCAGGAAAGTGAAGAGGCAACCAATAGGATGGGAAAAATTATTTGCAAACTATGCAAGTGATAAAGGATTCATAACCATAATATTTAAAGAGATCAAGGAACTCTACAACAACAAAACAAACAACCCAGTGAAGAAATGGGCAAAGGATTAAACAGACATTTTTTCAAAAGAGGAAATACAAATGGTCAACAGACACATGAAAAAATGCTCACAATCACTAGCGACCAGGGAAATGCATATCCAAACCACAATGAGGTTTTACCTTACCCCAATTAGAATGGCTCACATACAGAAATCAATAAATAACAAATGCTGGTGAGGATGTAGAAGGAAAGGTACCCTAATCCACTGTTGGTGGGAATGTAAAGCCACTATGGAAATAGTATGGCGATACCTCAGAAATTTGAATATAGACCTACCATATGACCTAGCCATCCCGCTCCTGGGAATTTACCCAAGGGAAATAAAATCAGCATATGAAAGAGTTATCTGCACCCCCATGTTTATTGCAGCTCAATTCACAATAGCTAAGATATGGAATCAACCCAAATGCTGAAAATTGAATAGTCTGGACGAGATGACTTTGAATCAGTCAGGAGAATTTGAAGTCTCATTTATTTACTTTGTTAGGAATGAGGATGGTGCTGTGGTTGTAAATGGTATCTATATCTACATCTATGTGTATGAATGATACACACTATATCTATCTGTAGATAGATGGGGAATACTGAAGTATACAGGGATGAAATAAATTGTGTTTGAGATTTACTTTAAAACCAATAAAGTGGGACAACAAAGATGAAAAAAAATGCTGAAATCTACTGAATACTGAATGAAGAAATTATGAGATATGTACACTATGGACTACCACACAGTGATTTTAAAAAAATGAAATCCGATCATTTACAACAAAATGGATGAATCTGGAAAATATCATACTTAGTGAAATAAACCAGTTCCAACGGGACAAATACCACATGTTCTCCCTGACCTGTGACAACTAAGAGTGAAACTAAAAGGCAATCCATAGAAATGAAATTCACTTTGAGAAGCAATGACTTGAAAACCCCTTGTCTTGACTATTGAGGAACAGTTTTGGGGTTTTTGTTTGTTTTGTTGTTGTTTTGGTTTTTTATTTGTTGAATTCTTTACTTAACATAGAGTTAAACATATGTGCATAAAGTCAATTGAAAATAGATCTCAGTAAAAAATAAGAGTGTGAGTAAGAGAGGAAGAAGGAAGAGGGATTAGGAGTATGGGTGGGGAGGTGGGCATGGTGGGAAGAATCATTATGTTCCTAAACTTGTAATTACAAAGTATATGAAGTTTGTAACTGTAAAGCATTATAGTTCTGTATACACTCCCACAGATTTACTTCTAAGGGTACAGTTTAAAAACTTGTCATGGGACCCCAAATCCCCTTAAGCTGGGTGGTAAAAATACCATCTTATGTGTTAAAGTGATCATATGGATAGGATTAGGGGTCTGGTAATAATAATAGATAGAATTAAAAAGGAGTGAATGCTCCAACCTGGAAAGCAGTCCACACAGCAGACTCAGGAAGACAATTGCTTTAAATAGCATTCTTACCTCAGACTCAACCCTAAAGCATTCTGGTCTGGCTGAAAAGCCCACTACAGCATTTCAGGCATAGAAATCCAACACACTGTGGCAAAAAAAGTGTCCTACATGAAGGATCTCTGTGGGTGAGACCCCAGTGGATAGAACTGGTCAATAAAGAAGGAGGTACTTTTCTCTGAAGGAAGGAGAGAACTTCCACTTTGCTTCTGGCCCTGTCTAAATACTGACAGAGTTTGTGCATTCAAAAGGCTTCCATAGCCTTGGCAGCTCATGTCAAGAGCCTTGGGTGATCATTGACATCATACAGAAGAGTGTTAATTGTTAAATTAACAAGTGTCACCATGCACTAACTTCCCATGCAGGACCTCTGTCCTCAAAATGCTATATTAGGAGTATGTCTAAGTGCTCCCAAATGATGTATCATTCTTGGGTGCTTCATTAAAATTAATTAAGTTTCTAAAAAAAAAAGAAGTGAAATTAACTTCAAGATGCAATAACTTTGAAGAGCCCTTGTCTCGACTGCTGAGAATAGTTTTTTTTTGTTTTGGTTTGGTTTTGGTTTTTGGCTGTTTTTTACTGTTGAACTCTTTACTTAGTATAGAGTTGGTCTTCTGTGTATAAAGTTAATTGAAAATGGTTCTTAGTAGAGAATGAGTCTGGGGATGGGAGAGGGAGGAGGAGAAGAAATGGGAAAATGGATAAGAGGGTGGGTATGGTAGGAAGAATCACTGTATTCTTTTTTTTCTTTCTTTTTTTTTTTTTTTTTTTGACAGGCAGAGTGGACAGTGAGAGAGAGAGACAGAGAGAAAGGTCTTCCTTTTCCATTGGTTCACCCCTCAGTGGCCACTGCATCCGGCGCACTGTGGCAAGTGCACCATGCTGATCTGAAGCCAGGAGCCAGGTGCTTCCTCCTGGTCTCCCAGGCAGGTGCAGGGCCCAAGGACTTGGGCCATCCTCCACTGAACTCTCAGGCCACAGCAGAGAGCTGGACAGGAAAAGGAGCAACCCGACTGGGACTAGAACCCGGTGTGCCAGTGCCGCAGATGGAGGATTAGCCTATGGAGCCGTAGCACCAGCCTGAATCACTATATTCTTAAAGTTGTACTTATGAAATGCATAAAGTCTGTATTCCTTAAATAAAACATTTCTTTGGGGGGGATTAATTAAAAAAGAAAAAATCATAACCATAAAACATTCTATTGACTCTCACAAATATCTAATATTTCTAAATAAATATAAAACATCATAAATATCAGCCATTTCTCCTTTCTCCCCAAGTTTGACTATTTACACTCAGTGTAATGAGTCATTGTAAGAACACAAATACATCTTAGAGCATGGCTCTGTACTCACATGTGATGGATAGTCATATGGTGGAGTGTATTCTTCCGCATATGTGGTCAATGTGTACCTAAGAGAGAGAAGTCAATGTTTGAAAACAGAATGACTTCAGAAGGAGAGATGCTTAAAATTGTATTCTTTACATTCAGTAAAAACATTTCAAAAAGATTTGGGCCTAATAACATTTTCAAATGTTGTAACTGTCCCAGGCCTTCTTTATGGGGTTAGCTACCACCAACAGTGCACCACCTCCTTCTGATTCAGCCTCACCTACCTCTCTCCTGTACTAAGGATATTTGTGGCTATTGAGTTGCACATCCCTGAGCTCAGCTGTTTTGAATTTTAAGAATTCTCTTTACCACTCAGTTCCTCCTTCTGAAACCATTTTGAACCTATGGTGTTTTCTGCACATAAATGATAAAAAGATAAGAGAAGACAACTAGGTGGACTGAGTTACATAATATCCCCAATCTCCACCCCATTAAACACACAGAAATGCTAGAAAAAATACACCCACAACTCTCAAGTACACAAGCATAGCTAAGCTCAATAGGGAAACTCTGAGGAACAGAAATGAAGAGGAACGTCATTACCATTTGAAATCAAAAAGTCCCAAGGCTAGAGGATGGAATTTGAACCACCATTCAAGGGCAAGAGAAGTAGCCTTGAGTTCGAAAGAGGCAAAGAGCTAAACTCCTACATACAAGCTCAGAACACATAGATGTTGTACTTTCACATAAGAGACCAGAGAAGCTCAAGCAACCAGCCCAGAGAGACTTCCCAGAAAATATAGTTATTTGATCTTAAGAAATTAAAATGCCATTTCCGTTCCTGGCAATATTATGTGGGTAAAAGGACATTCTAAAAAGTTTTAATGCCAAGCTGTTGGGAAAGGAGGAGAATTCACCAAGAAGCCCAGAAATATCAAGTCCAACAGTCTACTGGGTTCAGGTGCTAGCATGTTTCCTGATGGTAACCACCAATTCCTGCCAGCTCTCAAGGATGGATTCCAGAGCAGCAGCAGAAGCAGCACCTGGGGACACATTCAAATTCAGTGGTCCCTCACTATCCATGGGGGATTGGTTCCAGGAACACTTCACGCATACCAAAACTCGTAGATGCTCAAGCCCCAGTAATAAAATGGTGTAATGTTTGCATAGAACCAATGTACATCCTTGTGTATGTATAAATCACCCAGAGATTGCTTGTCATTCCCAATAGCACAGAAATGCTTTGTGAATACTTTTACTGCATTGTTTAGGAAACGATGACAAGAAAAAATGGCTATATCTGTTCAGTGCAGATGCAATTTTTAAAAATATTTTTGATCCATAGTTGATAGAATCAGAGGAGGATGGAGAAACCACAGACACAAAAGGCTGAGCTGGACATGGGTCCTATGCCAAACCCACTGACTTAAAAACTCTCTTAGTGGGGCCAGCAATCCACAGCTTAACAAGTGCCCTAGGTGATTCTGAAGCACACTCAAGTTTGAGTACTGATGATCAAAAGAGTAAAAATTGGAAGCACGCCTTTTTTTCTAATGTGACAAATTGGAAGCACACTTTTTTCTTCTATTAAAACCTAATGATGTGTTTCACCTATCTTAGGCTGAATCTTTTTTCTAAATTTTGAGTCTTTTTTAAAGTTTATTTGTATTTATATTAAAGGCAGAGCAACAGAGAGAAAGATTGAAAGAGATATTCTGTCTTCTGGCTCACATGCCAAATACCTGCAAACACCAAAGGTGGGCCAGGCTGAAGCCAGGACCCCACTGGGGTCTCCCAGGTAGTTGGCAGGGACTGATGACTTCAGCTGATACCTGCTGGCTCCCAGGAAGCTAGATGGGAAGCAGAGACAGGATTCCATCTCAGACCCTCCAATATGAGACGCAGATACCCAAGCAGCAATTTCACCTGCTACACCACAACACTCACCCCAATCTGAATTTTTTTTTACACTTGATCTTAGCCAAAAGGCTGAGAAGCGATCTTTTTAAACATGCACTTATTTTTATTTTAGAGAGAGAAATAGGTCTTCCATCCACTGTTTCACTTTTCAAATGCCCACAAATTCCACAACAAGGCCATGCTAAAGCTGGGAAGAGGAAAGTCAATCCAGGTGTCCCACGTGGGTGGCAGGAACCCAACCCAATCATCTGCTGCCTCCAGGGCCATATCAGCAGGAAGCTGCGTTCAGCACCGGAGCCAGGACCGGAGCCCAAGCCCAGAATACATACACAACATCAGCAGGCATCTCAACAGGCATCGTAACTGCTGCCCCAAATGCCAACCCCAGGAAACATAACTTGCAAATCAGCAAATGGGATTTTAAAAATGGATCAATCTGGGGGTGGAGCAAAGATGGAGGAATAGTGAGGGTATGCACTGATAGTCCGGGAAAAGATAGTTTAATAAAAGTGGAGTTACTGTAGTTTCAGGAAAAGGCTCGGGAAAAAATTGCAGAGGAAACTCTTCCAGATCTAGTGGATGTGACACGGAGGACCTACGGGGAGAGCAAGGACATCCATGGCACGGAAGCCGAGGCACAGAAGCCGAGCCGCAGAGTCTGCACGCCAACTCTGGAAGGGGAGGTGAGACAAAAACCTCAGTAACCCGAGTCATTGGTGGGGAAAGGCAGAAAGAGCCTAGAGGGAACAAGGCTTGAAGCCCTGCTGGGGATAGTTCACCAGGCTGACTGGAGGAGAGAAAAAAAAAGCGAATAAATAAGGGGAACCAGCATGGACACTAGCCTCTCTCTTCACTCACCTTACAAAGCCGAGCAAGACAAAGAGCAGGCGCCATTTTGGACATACATAAAGCAGTGCCTGCCATTAGCCAAGCAGAAAAACCTGACTCTGGTGGGGAGAAATAACTGGAGGTTTGAAGCTAGTGAAAGTGTGGAGCTAACAAACTGAGATTATGAAAATCTAAGGGTGGGTGAGATAACTCACTGAGTACACAAACTCGGTAACTTGGCAACCTGGTGAGAGACTGCTGAGAAATTGGAGACCACACTGAGGGCTGCATAGACCCTTTGTGTGGTCCTTGGGGTAGAGCAGACTAATACCCACAGGAGCCAGATTTCATACATCAACTACCCTCAATTCCACTCAGCTGTGCAGAATTACTTCCCTTCTGAGTCAAAAAAAAAAAAAAAAGAGAGAGAGAGAGAGAGAGTGAGAGAGTGAGAGAGCGAGCGAGAGAACAACCTGGGTGAGTCACCTTTGGCACACTCTTAACCAGGAAGAACCAAACAGAGCTCTCTGGCCACACCCATCACAGCCTCTAAGGATCCATCAAAAGCAGACAGTCCACTTAATCTAGAGTCATAGTATAATGAGAAAAAACACCACAGCGAAGAAACCAAAGAATATCTCCACAATGCCAAACAACAAACGCAGAAACTGAGGTAACAAGAACAAGGAAGACACTATAAAGTCCCCAAATGAAAAAGACACCCCAATTCAAGATTATGAAGATGATGAGATAGAAGAAATGCAAGAAGCAGATCTCAAAAAATTGATAAGAACATTAAGAAGTTCTCAAAAACAAATTCTTGAACTACAGAAATCCTTAATGGACAGGATAGAAAAATCTCTCTCACGAAAATGAAATATTAAGGAGGAATCAAAATGAAATGAAGCAACTAGTAGAACATGAAACTGTGATAGTGATGAGAAATAATGAAATGAAGAGTTCAATAGATCAAATGACAAACACATTACAGAGTCTTAAAAACAGAATGAGTGAAGCAGAAGAGAGAATATCGGACTTAGAAGACAGAGAACAGGAAAGTATACAGTCAAACCAAAGAAAAGAAGAGGAAATTAGAAATCTAAAACATATTGTCCGGAATCTACAGGATACTATTAAAAAAACCAACATTCGGGTTCTAGGAGTTCCTGAAGGCATGGAGAGGGAGAAAGGTTTAGAAGGCCTTTTTAGTGAGATACTAGCAGAAAATTTCCCAGGTTTGGAGAAGTACAGAGACATCCTAGTACAGGAAGCTCATAGAACCCCTAATAAACATGACCAAAAGAGATCCTCACCACGACACGTTGTAATCAAACTCAACACAGTGAAGCAGAAAGAAAAGATTCTAAAATGTGCAAGAGAGAAACATCAGATTACTCTCAGAGGATCTCCAATTAGACTCACAGCTGACTTCTCATCAGAAACCCTACAGGCTAGGAGGGAATGGCGAGATATATCCCAGGTACTAAGAGAGAAAAACTGCCAGCCCAGAATATTATATCCTGCAAAGCTCTCATTTGTGAATGAAGGTGAAATAAAGACCTTTCATAGCAAACAGAAATTGAAAGAATTTGTCGCCACTCATCCAGTCCTGCAAAAGATGCTTAAAGATGTGCTACACACAGAAACACAGAAACACGGCCATCAGTATGAAAAAAGGTAAAGGAAGAAAACCTACCAGTAAAAGATCATAGGAAGCTCAAAGCATATAGTAGAAAATATCTTTGGGAAAATGGCAGGGCAAAGTCACTACTTATCAATAGTCACATTGAACGTTAATGGACTCAACTCTCCAGTTAAAAGGCACAGACTGGCTGAATGGATTAAGGAACAAAACCCATCTATTTGCTGCCTACAAGAAACACATCTTTCCAACAAAGATGCATGCAGACGGAAAGTGAAAGGTTGGAAAAAGATATTCCATGCCAACAGAAATGAAAAAAAAAGAAGGTGTAGCCATATTAATATCAGACAAAATAAACTTTAACACAAAAACTGTTAAGAGAGACAAAGAGGGATACTATATAATGATTAAGGGTTCAATTCAACAGGAAGATGTAACTATTATCAATGTATATGCACCTAATTACAGGGCACTGGTTTATTTAAAAGATAGGTTAAGAGACTTAAAGGGAGACTTAGACTCCAGTACAATAGTACTGGGGGACTTCAATACTCCACTATCAGAAATAGACAGATCACCTGGACAGAAGATCAACAAGGAGACAGTAGATTTAAATGACATATAGCCCAAATGGATCTAACAGATATCTACAGAACTTTTCATCCTACACATAAAGCAATTACATTCTTC